TACTTTCTGTAACACCCTTTCATCAGGGAAAAAAATATATGATAAATAGAAACGGGCTCTTTAAAAATGCAACTTACTATCCTCTTCCCACTTCAACTACCTTAATTCTTTTTGTCCTACACCAGGATGCTGTCCTCATGGGTCTAACTTCATTTTCAATCCTTCACATTTCTTATTTCACAGGAACATTTAGCTAACAGGACTAACTTATACCAAATCATTCACCAATATGACATCCAAAGTAAACAATGGTGATCTGAAGATCATTTTGTTCCCTAGCTGACAAAATATAGTTTATTTCAGGCTATACCACACACATGGTAAGTTTGAAATGATTAAACGTTCTTCATTGTATGATGGAGGCACATTTACATAAGCAACACATATTTATTGTAGAAAGATTGTAAAATACTAAAGTACACAGAATAAAATAATCATACTGCTCTGAGATTATTACTTTTATCATGTTGGGGTTTTCTTTTTTATTGTTTTATCAGTATTTGATGATCTACTTTAATTATCAAAATCAGGAGACAGATTTTGAAGCTTTGATAATAGTAATAGTTCCTCCATTAAAAATAATTGTATGGCTGTCTTATGATAAAACCTAAAGTGCATCCTGTAGTGATGTGGAGAGAAGACCTGAGAACATAGGTAGAGATTACAGGAAGTGAAGTTTTGGTTCAACTTAAATGAACTTGGTTTTTCTATCATTTTAAGATCACAAATAACAGTGGTATGCTCTGCCAACTTGTACTGATTAATGAAAGAGAATTGTTAAATTTGAAGAAATCTAGCAGACTGGCATCAGATTGTCAGCTTGAAATTGGCTATGGTGGGAGTATTTACACTATAGAAATTGGCAAATGCTGCAAACCAGGGCTCCCCACTCCACCTCCAGCCTAACATCACCTACAGGGCATAAGAAGGTTTAATTGTACATGACTGAATCAGAGCAGGTGAAGAGGGACTAGTCCAGATTGTAGGGATCCGGAGAGACATGTGCAAGGGATATCTTCAGTTCTAGCCATGTTTCTATGGGAAAGGGCAGCCAGGGTTTTTCAATCTCATGGTTTCATGAGGAAATCCAGAAATAGGGAATTTTTTAATGTGAAATTTTCTGAATTTTAAAACACTATTAGAGAGGTGGGGGGAAGATGATACTAAACTAGATACAACCTGTGGATACCAGGTTTCAAATCTTGCTAAAAAATTGTGATTTTTATTTGGCTGTATAGGGAGAAGGTGAGCGTTTTCTCATCAGTTATGGCCTAGTAAGGATTCTTATTTTCAATAAGGGGTTAACTAATGATCTGTAAGTTCCTTCCCTATTCAAAACCCCCACAACTTGATGCCTCTGCACTTCCCTGCCCTGAAATACCTTTTAATATTTTCAGGCACTAATCATCATGGCCATGTAACATTTCACTGTGGTTGCGTTGAACTCTGCTTCATCTCTTGCATGAGGGGATACTATGGAGGGCCATCTTCTGGGAGGTCTGGAGGCTTTTGATTTTATAGAATCTTAGAATGTCAGGGCTGATAGAGGCTTGATGACAAGTCAATGAGCCTAAGAGTTATTGACCCAGAATCTATGACTGAGAGTGGATGATAATTGTGAATCCCTTGAAGTTTTCTGAGAAAAAGGTCCATAGATTTCATTCATTATTCAGATATTCCAAAATGGGTAAAAACCACCCATATATTATATCAGGCTTTTCCATTCATTCAACAAATGTTTATTGAGTACTGGCTATATGTCAGATTGTATAGGTAAAAATTAGCAAACAGGCAAAATGGAGACCATTATCTTTAAGTCCAGAAGAGAAGACACACAATTAAATAAGCAATTCCAACAAAGCATAGTTGTCCTATGGCAAATAAAGCACATAAACTGAGTACCTACCCTAGCCTGGGATGCATAGAGTAAAGTTGTCATCAGAATGGAATATTGGAAGAACTGACATTTAAGTTAATATCTGGAGGATGAATAGTAATTGGACAGTTAAAGAGGTGATTATCCTCCCAAATACTTAAGAACCACAGAATATGTATAGCACTTTCACTTCCCATAGGAAGAAACTGAGAACTTAACACCCAACAAATCTTTCCTAAGTCACTAGAAAAGAGCAAAGCATGAAAAGTTTGGTACACAAATGCAAATGAGGAAACAAATAATGAACACAAAGACTCCTTCTTTTGCCTGTTGGGATCCCTACATGTGAGCTTGCTCTTTCTTAACCCACCCTAAATTTGGGCAAGGTGTCTGGAAGTCAGTGGCTCCCAACCTTGGGCCCCCCGTATCCTGTCCTTTCCCTGTAGAATTGGCCACTGATAAACATTATTTGTATAGCCCTCAATTCTAGAGGACTTCTGGGGTGAGAACTCTGCCCATGCTTCATGACATTTCCAGACCAGTCTTGCTTTGTAAAAAGGCAGGCACTGAAATATTCATTCTCTGTCCCTTTTCTTCTTCCTCATGACACATACTATATGATTATATTAGTCTAAACCTCTCAGGTACTTCCTCTTCAGGAAATGAATATTAATAATGATAACTGGAATTGTATGCTTAGTAAAATTGTTATTTGGGGGGCACCTGGGTGGCCCAGTGGTTGAGCGTCTGCCTTCGGCTCAGGGCATGATCTCAGGGTCTTGGGATCAAGTACCACATCAGGCTCCCTGCAGGGAGCCTGCTTCTCCCTCTTCCTGTGTCTCTGCCTTTCTCTGTGTGTCTCATGAATAAATAAATAAAATATTTTAAAAACCTGAACTTTATTTTTTTAAGTTATTAGTTACCAAGTTTCCAAAGATTCTAAAGAAAGGTCCTAGACGTCCATCTACAAAGCTTGCTAAAAGTTGGCCAAAACCTTAATCAGGTGCTCAAGTAACTTATCCCAACTGGGACAATTTTGAAAGTGAAAGGGGGTTGTTGTTCATAATTACACTGATCAAGAGGTGTAAACCAACATTCCCAGTCACTTCATCCTGAGCCCAACATCCACCTCGAGCCAAAATGAGAGAGAAAGAGGAGTGTTATTAACATCCTTAAGCTAAATGAGAAGGAATCAAGAGTAGTTAGTAATTCCTTATCAGCTGGTGACTGCTGAGGTAAAAGAACTCACAGGCTTTTGTTGAATGGTAGCTCCTAAAAAGATGTATTTATCATCCCCTTCAAAACTGGTGGAGGTGACCTTATTTGGAAAAAAGGCATCTTTGCAGATGTAATTAAGGTTCTTGAGATGAGATCATCCTGGATAACCCAGGTGGGCCTTAAATCCAATAACAAGTGTTCTTATAAGAGACAAAGGAGGAGAAAACCCTGACAAAGAATTAATACAAAGACGGAGGCAAATATTTGAGTTATGCAGCTAAAAGTCAAGAATTCCTGGAGCTACCAGAGGCTGGAGGAGGACAGTAAAGAGTCTCCTAGAGTCTTTGGAGGGATCATAGCCCTGCGGACACTTGATTTTAGTCTTCTGTATTTAGAACTGTAAGATAATAAGTTTCTGTTATTTTAAGCCATCAAGTTTGTGAGCATTTATTCCAACAGCCCTAAAAAACAAGTACACAGACCCATCCCAAGATAGAGCCTGTGAAAATTCTTGGAAGATTATTGTTCTTTGAAGTTTGGGGCTACCGAGTCTGTGCCTACCCCCTGCAATTTCGAGGTGAGGAGGGGAGTCTGCAGTCAAACCCAGCTAGACTTTCACAAAGCGCAGGGCAAGGATGTGTGGCTCTCTTTTGACAGTGGACACTTCCGAGGGAATCCTGGTTAGACATATGATGAAAAGGCTATTCCCAAGAGGACCACTTTCAGGGATAAAGCAACACCAAGTACGTACTGCTAGGAGTAGAACAGAGGAAGTATATTAGTTATCTATGGCTCTGTAACAAATTATTCCAAAACTTAGTATCATAAAACAGCAAATATTAAATATCTCACACAATTTTTAGTGATGAGAGCAGCTTGGCTGGGTGATTCCTAGCTAAGGTTTCTTATGAGTTTGTATTCAAGCTGCCAGCTGAAGCTACTGTCATCTGAAGGCTTGACTGGGCTGTAGCATCTGTATTCAAGTTCACTCACATGGCTGTTAGAAAGCAGTTTCAGTTCCTCTGTAAGGTGGCCTCTTCACAGGATTGCTTACAACGTGATAGCTGACTTTCCTGGGAGTAAGTAATGAGAGAGAAGGAGAGACCAAGACAGAAGCTACAGTGTGTTTTATAACCTAATCTTGGAAGTGACAACCATCATTTCTCTTGTATTCAATGCCAACCCTGGTACAATATAGGAGGAGACTTCAGAGGGAGAATACTAGAAGGCAGGGATCATTGGGTACATATGGCTGGTTATCATGGGTGGAATTTTAAGAAGCCAGCTAGAGAGTCCTCCATGGCCATCAGGGATTAGTGTAATCAATAGCCAAGACAGAATTACAAATGCCCTCTGCTAAGTACAAGTGGTTTTTTTCTCCTTCTCTTTTATCTTTTTGCCCTGCTATTCCCTTCCCTGAAGGAGTCAGAAGTAGCAGAGGTAGATGGATCAAAGAAAAAAAAATACTGATAATGCCTCTTGCTTCACTGATGATCAGCAGAAATACAGATGAGGTGACCTGGTGAAAAAAAAATAAAACTTTTGAATATGATGAGAAATAAATTTTTTTTGTTATATAAAAGTAGTGAAAGGTATAATGTAACATGCTTCAGCAATTGTCAACTGTTTGATCCCCCTCTATTATGGATGTGCTCTCTTTCCCTTGCTGTATTAATCTTCTCTCATCCTCTGCAATCTCTTAGCCTTTCCTGATCAACATAGCCCACAGGGCTTCCTTTCCTCTGAACTTCTGGTAGGTTTCAGTAGTGCCTGGAATCCAAACTCTAGGGCTTCACTGTGGTATACTTATCTCTGCTCCTAACTGGAGGGCCCCAACTGATGCTGTTATTGAAGCTGGCTCTAAGAAGGGGAATGGAATTGGGGACAGAAAGGGATGGGTCAGAAGATGGACATCCATGGGCATATGCAGAAGCAGCCTCCTCGGACTAAGGACCAAGAGTTATGGGCAATTTGTGAGCTGTCCGATGTGGAGAAACTGCTCAAAAGCCTGGAAGAGATTTCATATTCAAGGTACCAAGATAAGTCAGAAAGAGCTGTACAGTGAAAAGGATCTAGAAGTAAAAGTCAAGAGTGGGTGTTCATCCCAGATCTGCAATGTGACCTAGGTCATATCATGTCATCTCTCTGGTCTCCAGGGCCTTCCCCCCCAAAAAAAAAATCAGCAGGAGAAATTGATAAGCTAATTCCAAAGTTCACCTAGGATAGTGTCTTTTGATCTTTTCATGATCTTTGTTATTATTATTAATATTATTACCACTCCAAGGGGATTTTTTGATATTTTTTTCTAATCACCCCCCCATGAAATTTTAATACCACAACTATGGAACATATCTGTTTAACTGCTGTGTGTATCTTTATCAAATGCTTAACCCTTGGAAGAGTAAGATCTTTCACTCTCCAACAGCTAATTCCCACCTTTTGGGGAGTGATATCATCCCCATTGAGAATACATGATCTAGAATTTAAAAAGTAGAAAGTAATTTGAAAAAAATTCAGAACAAGAATTATGAAAGATCACTTCTCCAAACTAACATCAAAACATGCTAAAAATTACTTTAATTAAGAGTATGGTAGAATAATAGACAACGGAGCACAACATCTTAAAATAGATTCACATCTATATGGAATATTTAGGAATTTATTATGACCATCTTGGCATTTCAAAGTCAGTGAAGAGAAAGGAAACTATTGAAAAAAAAACAATCTGGAGAAAAGAGACATGCATTGACAAAAATAAGCCAGATCCATGAATCCTCTGAATAAATAAATCATAGGTATATTAAAGAGGTAGACATATAAAGTAATTCCATAAAAGATAAAGAAAAATACAGAAAATGAGTTACATTTTAATTTTTTCCTACTCTTTGGTTGTTTTCCCCCTCTACTTTAATCATTTAAAGGTTTAGACTATAATCTCTTTCATATTGTTCTAGTGTTTTTAGTTCTCTGGGCTCTCATTCTCTTGTGTGTTGCATGTGCAGACACACTTTCACTCTCATGGTGGTTTTCTTCTTGTGGTTTGTAATTTTTTAGTGTGAGCTCATCTTTGCAAGATTGTGCCCTGGCTTGTGAGAACAGAGCAACAGAGGGTTTTTACATTTGTCTCTTCTGGACCTCCAGGGGTTCTAGACTCCTACCGATGTTAATTAATTCTTACTTGGGGAATCCCATACCACATAAATAGTGTAAATTCACATCCCACAAACGTGCGTGGGGTTGGGGTTTCTTTTCTTCATAGGAGACCTTTTCTTCTCTACTGACTGCCCACAAAAGATGGTGCAGGTCTCTCACTCCCATATCAGAAGGACTTGAGGGATTCTAACTCAATAGGAAGCACTCAGATGCAGCTACCTGCCTTTCAGAGAGGTCCTGAGAGCGCAGAAGACCTCATGCATGTCCCCTAACTGAGTAAGCATCTAGACGCCTACCACCAGCAGAGGCTTCAAACACCAACTGCTGCTGGCTGCACATAGGCAAGTTAAGTGACATGTGCCCCTTTGGGCCACCACCACCACCACTGCCCACCACCCTAGTCCTAATTAGCAGGGGCAGGGGCCTCTGCAGGATAGGCAACAATGGGGAGGTGGAAAAGGGAGATGATACTTTGAAGTTGGACTGAGTGAGTCTGCTATTGTTTGAATTACCGAGAGATCAGATCTAGATGTCATTAAAAAGCTTGAAAAGGAGATTAGATAGGCTTTGGTTGGAGAAATATTAAACATTTTTATGTTTGTATCCCAGCAGCCCAAACTGTTCATGAAGCTGATCACATACCTATTACCAAGACTGTGGAACTCTTAAGTCAAATACAGTGAGGTTCCATTTTCACTGTTCAGTGAAAGAAGCAAGTCATACAGTGACATGTATGATACAATCCCATTTATAAAAGATATTTTTTTAAAGTATGTTTCTATATACCTTCCTATCTATATATCTGGCCATTTAAGTGAGGTATGCTATGTCACACACTAGCTCCATGACTTTGTATAAATTGATTGGCCTCTCTGTGTCTCAGATTCTCCTCTCACCCCCACTGGTAAAGAGGAATAATAATGATAAATGCCTTATGGGACCTGTGACAATTGTATGAGTTGTATAAAGACTGTATGGTTTAGAATTACTTTTAGCACCTGGTAAGTGCTATTGGTTTTGATCCCATTATTCTCTAATGAGTTTTAAAGGTCTAAAAGATATTTACCAAACTTTGTGGAAATAATCTCAGGATAGAGGGGATGACTTAAGCTTAAGGTTCAGTTTCATTTCCTATCTTACCCTCCCTGCCAAAAAATTCTCACCCTTAGAATATTTAAGTACAAAACCTATTTCTGCAATACTTGTATTATTTTATTTTATTTTTAAAGATGTTATTTATTTACTTATGAGAGACACACAGAGAGAGAGGCAGAGACATAAGCAGCAGGAGAAGCAGGCTCCCTGCAGAGAATCTGATGCAGGACTTGATCCCTGGACCAGGGATCACGCCCTGAGCTGAAGGCAGATGCTCAACCGCTGAGCCACCCAGGCATCCCAATACTTGTATAATTTTAAAACAGAAAAATTAAATGTTTGCTCCAAAAGATAACTACATGTCCCTTCAATAATAACCTTCTATGACTCTTCCAAAACCTCCTGGTCTTTTTTGCCTTTTATCACACTCCCTTGCTAATGCCCTTTTCTTCCACTGATACTAGCCTTTATTTTGTAAATTTATACCATGAGTTATCTTTCCTATGTCAAAAGTTTTGTCTTTCCAAGTGGGCTTTCAGCTACTTCCCTGCCAGCACAGTCTCACATCTCCATTTGTAACCCTATCATGATAAATATAATGTGGCAAATGAGGCCAATGCCCAGATTGACTTACTTACCACCTTTTAAATCCAGAGATGCAGATTAGACCAGTTCTTTTAAACTCATTTTAGGTTCTGGGGTGCCTGGGTGACTTAGATCAGCTTAAGTGTCTGACTTCAGCTCAGGTCATGATCATCCAGTCCTGGGATCAAGCCCCATTTTGGGCTTCCCATTCAGCAGAGAGTCTGCTTCTCCATCTCCCTCTGTCCCTCCCCACCCCGACTCTCTCAAATAAACAAATAAAATCTTTTTAAACAACAAAAATTGAAAATTGAGAAAAACCTCATTTTGGGTTTCAATACTTATGCTTCCTTTTTTTTTTTTTAATTTAGTTATTTTCAAACTTTTTGGTCTCTGACCTCCTTTACATTCTCCCTTAAGAATACCAAAGAGCTTCTGTTTATGTAGATCGTATCTGTCAATATTTGTAATATTATAAATTAAAGCTGAGAAAATTTCAAGATAGTCATTAATTCATTTTAAAATAAGGATTGATGAAATGTCAACATAAAAACTTTCTAATGAAAAATAATGTATTTTTCAAAACAAAAAAAATGTGAGAAGTGATTTTGTTTACATTTCTGTAAATCCCCTTAATGTCTGGCTGACTAGAAGCAATCAGGACTCTTCCATCTTCTGTATTCAGTCTGCTGAGATATCACATCAGGTGGCTTCTTAAAAACTCCATGGTACACTTGTGAAAGAATAGGAAAGAAAAGGTATTTAATAGCTTGGTATTATTATAAAAGGAGTGCAAAAAAAAAGGTAAATATGTCTTTGCATTATTATAAAAATAGTGTTGACCTTGCAGAACCCTTGAAAGAATCACAGGGACCCCAGGAGGCCCCAGACCACACTCTGAGATCACACTTTGGGAAAAGCTGGTCTGATTTAATCCTCAAAAAGGCTCTGTAAGGTGAAAATTATTATTATTCCTCTTTCACAGATGAGGAAATTAATGCCCAGAGTAGTCAGGGAAGTTGCCTCAAGTTACCACAGTTGGTAAGTGGAAAAGTCAGAATTTGAGCCCAAATCTAAACCTTGAAACACTATGCTATACCGCCTTTGTAGTAGCCTGCACCTACCCCCATGGCCTGCTATCCTGACTGAATAGAGGTCAATGATTGCCCTTGTCCATCTCATCTACCTGACTAGATATCTATGTACCTACCTACCTACTACCTACCTACTAGTGACAGACCATTCATAACCCATCTTTCTATCTCTTGTCCTGACACTGCCTGCTAATTAATGTAATTTGAAAAAATAAGTAAAAGCACTGGCTTTTTTTTTTTTTTTCACATTCACACAAAGTAACATCAGGACTGAAAAATACGTTTTTGGTAGTTACTTCAACCGTTCACTACTGCCCCAATTAGGAGATACCCGATTCCTTGTCTTACAGCTGGGAACAGATGTTTAAGAAAGTTGGTCTTTGCTATAGGAAATGGTGCTGGAAAGGCAGTCACAGAAAGCAGAGCTCCAAGGCCATTTCAATACTCTGCCTGTGATTTAGAGGTACACCAGTATGTTTGAAGTCTACATTCTTAGCAAAACATCAATTGCTTTTCCAGTATTACATTCGTGTTGGATGGCCTCAAATTATACATTGTCATATGCTTGGAAGGTCTGTTCCCGGCTTTTTGGTTCAACCACATAAATATCCATGTGTCCTCTGTACATTTAGTTGTGAACATCAATTACTTAATAGACCTGGAACATGAGAAGTAGGAAAGAAAATCCTTGAGCTCATATAGCTGATAATATTTCATTATGGTCAACCTCATTTGAATGCTAGTGTTAGGGAATAAACACTTGGTTTATAACTTTTCTGTGAGTTGATTGTCAAAAGTGATATTTTGTACTTCACCACAAATATGGGGTCTGATGGGACCCACATGGGACTTTACAGGCTGGAGTTTTAATCAGGAGAACCACAGCACAGCTAGCCCATTGTTTTCACTTGGCACTCTAACGTTCTGAAAAAGAATACATGAGTCGTATAACAGAAAGGCAGAATGAGGAGGAGGAGAAAAGGGAACATTTTCAGGCTTACCTAAATCAAAGAAACCTTACTAAATAATTTACTTTTCTTGATTATTCTCGAAGAATACCTGGATTTCTCTCCATTCAAGCTCTTATCCTTAGCTGTCAGCACCCCA